AGATTAAGAATATGCTGCAGTTCAGGTTAAGTGCAATACAGAAGTTATCACAGTTCTAACAAAGGTAAGGGAAGTACTGTTTCAGTGAACAAAACATCATACATATTCAGGAATATAAAATATAATCAGATTCAAGCAAACGCTTCTGAAGCTGACATTCCAGTCCCTACAATTCAAAGTTAAAGCTTGTTTACATGATAAGACTTGTAGAGAAATAAATACACTTACAGAAGTACACGCACTTCAAGACAGACATACTGAATTCGCAGGGCTGATTCTGATCTTTTTAATACTGATTTTACAACGTAAACCAAACAGCTAATAGGGTTCTCATTGAAAGGTATGACTAAGTAAATCACTAGACTCTCACTACAGCCAGCCCAACGTACATGTCCTTAGCATAAAATGTATTTGCTCTTCAGCATACGCTCTGGCTCTTCTACCCATCTGTTGAGTCAAAAAACAAGCCTGGAATAAGAATTTGTCAGACAAAAGGAAAAAAAGCCTCCTTTTCACTGCTTGTAAGGACTACATCTTGACTGATCTCATTTTGAATGGCGTATAGGGTCACTTCCGTTCCTCACATTACACAATTTCTCTGTGCTTAAGCAACGACTGAAAGCCTACCTGAAGTTTTGCCCCTAAACAGTGGTCCTTCTAACCAAAGAATTTATATATTAGGGATTGGTAATGATATGCTCAACTCTACATGAAAGTTTTACTAAAACTGCATGGGGACTTCGTATCAAGTAGTATATATTCAAGTAAATCTCACATGCTCTGTCAGACTTCTAAGGGTAGCCCAACTTGAAATCAAAATGGCAACAATCCTCTACCTACAGAAGTCCTAAACCCTGTCTGCTAGCTGATACAGCAATGAATTCTGACACTGAGACAGGTACACAAAGAAAACATTTCCAAAGGCTAAGTCAGATGAGAACAACAGATAAGCATCTTGGCAGATGCACTGCATCTGTCTGAGCCAAACTCCCTGCTCAGAAGTGCTTCTCCAGCTTTACAGCACAGGTGCTTTCTGAACTCCAACGTATTAACTCAGTACCAACATGGAAAACAGCACTTGTTAGGAGCAAAGATACCATTTTCCCATTATTCCTTTCTTCTCCAAAGAAGCCTGTTGAGGAGAATAAGGGCCTTTTTGCACTCAGCAATGCTGCTCTGAAGATTCCAAGCCTGATACCTCTCACTGACCTGGAAACTTGCCTTGCCAGCGTTGTCTTCAGCGGGATCCTCACTACTACAGCACACATGTTGGCTTCCCTTCAGTTCCCAAGATAAAACTAGACAGCAGGAAACTGTCCTTTGTTCTCAGAATACCAGCTCCACAGTTGTTAAATACGTTAGGACAGCAGTTCCCAAGTAAGGAGCTGAGAGATTGTGAGTCTGCAACAATCTAGTACTAATTCCTCTTGGTTTTCCCCTACAAGCACACAATAAGATACTAAAAACTCACACATGCTTTCCAACAGTCTTCTCTGCACTGCTTCCCATCATGGATATAATACAGAGGTCTACTGCACCTCAAGTATGCCCTTGAACTGTACATGGCAGGAATTAGCACCAGAACAAGCATACCACCAACGGATGCTGAATATAAATCCATATTCAGCAATTGCACATTAGAGAGAAACAGTCAAACAATGCATAAGTAACCTGAATTCTGTAATAATAAACTATACAAGTAATTATTCAAGAACAAGCAATTCAAGTAAGAACTTAGTCTCAAGTAGCTACTAGTTTCCTAGCTTTTCTTCTCACAGCACCTGCGGACTGATCAAGTCCTCAGAACAATTCTTCTGGGGCATTTTTCCACCTAGAGTGTTTAACATTAAACTGTACTGCTTTAGGAACATACAAGCAAGACTAAAACACCATATTCAATAGATGCAGGTCGACATCAACAACAAGGAACCTCCAGCCTCCTCCTGCATTCATGCCAATCTTAATTTTCCTCAAGTTCACACACGCATGGCATTGCAGGTTGTTAGTTGCTTTATGCTTGACTCTGCTACAGCCCACTCTGAGGCCAGACTCCAAGGCAGTATCTCCGTGCAAGCTGCAGCCACTTCCACTCACCTGCCAGACCTGCTCCAATCTGCTGCCCAAAACCTAGCTAAACACTGCCACACCTTCAATGTGGGCACTGGATGCAAACTAATGCCCTGCTTCCTTGATCCTCCCTTCCTGCCCAGCTCACCTTTTATGTTTATAATAGCAGAAAACAGAGTCCACAGCCCAAAGTCCAATTCTAGACGAGCTCCATTGTGCTAAGTGTGAGCACCACAAATATCCAGATTCCCTATGTCACAGATTATACAGGTAGCTTTGTTACAGGCTATAAAGCATAACAGAAGAAAGGTAGTTCATACTGCTTAGGATGGTTTAGGACTACCCTAAACCCAATTATAAACAAGAACATTAATGTTGCCCAGAGTTGTGCCAGGATATAGCGTGCGGATGGCAATTGTGCTTGCCAATTGCTCAAGTCACTGCTGAGGCTGTCAGGTTGCTCACAGACCTAACACCATAACTGCTCTGAAATGACACACAAGCTTCTTCAGAGAGGACAAGCTTACTGAAATGTGTTGGGCTTGGAATTCTTTTCTCCTCACTTAATACTAAGGCTATTTACCATTTCTTGTCCTTCTGCTAACCCTCTAACACCTAGCATGCCTTGGGCCTAATACAAGAGGCAAGAACTAACAGCAAACACATGAGAAACTTCTGAGTTTGCACTTAAAAATATCTAGCCAAAGCCCTGAGTTACAACCATCACGTCTCTATTCAGATAAATACAACAGAAGATCTAACACCACTGTCATCACTGTGCACGCACAATATAAATATCGGTTAAGCCTGATAAATCTCTTTTGAGGTAGATATATACAGTACAAAATAAGTTAAAGGTTGAATACAAACATCATACTCACTTCACCTCCTTGCCTTGTCCTCCAGCTCTGCAGGAAACCTTGCAAACACATTATTTCTGCCTTATCAGCATTCAAGCCACGTTTTCCCAAGTTCTAAGGGCTAAGACAACTTGCAGCTAAAAGACCACTGAAACCAAACCCATACATTTAACACCATCACAGAGTTTCAGTTAGGACCATGAGAAAAACAGGTGAACACTAAATTCATCTAAGGAAAATCCAGCTATTTTAAATAATTTTGCAAGCAAACCAGTGCTGTTCAAAACAGGTTCCAACACTTTGATCCATGAGAGAAAAGCAACAAACCCAAACCTTCTGCTGGGGTTTTCAAAGGCAGTTTTAAACTGGAAGTTTGAGCTTCAGTTCCCAAAACCTCATTTTCATTACTTGCCCCCTGTCACTGAAACAGAAGAAGAAAGGAGAAAGACTGCTTGAGAGACAGACACTCCCTCCCAACTCCTTTAGTAAAAGGATTCAGTTTAAAGAATTCATGGAACTCTAATGAAAACCATGCGACGAACAGATAAATCAGATTACAGTCTGCTCAGAACTCATGGTTCACATGGGAGGTTGGAGAACTTGTAGATAATCTTATCCTGAGATCAGGGTTTGTGACAAGCAGGGAGGTACTGGGTTTTTTCTGTGTTGTCAGACCATGATGGCAGATACAACAGCAAAATAAATCTGGAGATACACTCTTCCTTTGAAGCAAACACCTATAAAGACAATCCATCCCATTGCAGATTAATACAAATTCATAATCACTCAGTAATTAATGCACCAACAACTGCTTTAGGAAGGTGACTGAGCAGAGAAGCATCTGCTCATCAGTCACTTGTATGTTTGTTGTTTTCTTTTAAACCCAAGATAAATCAGACAGTGGGACTGCTATTAGCTAGTCAATTAAATGCTGATAAGTACAACACATGACCACACAGGCTCAAGCACACAGTCATGTTTCGTTGTGACTCATCACAAAACGAGTATGACTACAAAAGAAGCAGCACTGATGCCTGCCTGTGCTTGCGTGACTTACTTTGTCACAAGTGGCTACAGGTTGGGAAGATTTCTCCCCCATGGCTGTAGCTCTAATGACAAGCACAACTTTTGGGGTCCCTTTCAGAATTCACTGTCCCATCGCAAGTCAGAGATAAATACTAGGAGTTTTGAGCAGTCCCTGTCAGCACCAATTCTCTGCATACCAAGCGAACTCCCACTTAGCCCATCTCCTTCTAGAGGAAGGTTGTCTGGGCAAGAGACTTCCCCCAGTGAAAACTCGATGGATAGCAAAATACAAATCAAATGACCAGCAAGCAAACGAGAAAGGTTGAGCTGCAGTTCCTCAAATGTTTCAACAGGAATTCAGACTTGACAGTTATAATCCTCAAAAAGTGAGGACTGAAATGTTCTTCACAATAATGCCAAAATAAACACACTTAAACATAGTTGCAATAAATACCATTAAAGTATTGGAAAAAAATGAAGAGGTCCAGAAGGATTTAGATCCTGTAGAGGCAGAGCATGCCAAAGCCTTTGCCTCTCAGGCCCAACAGACAGGGTATTCACACAGTATAACAGCTTCCCCTTAACAATGGCAATGCTGTTCCTTCAAGCAAGTCAAGAGGTAGCATCTAAAACAGTGTAATAAATACAGCAGCAACCTCCAGCTGAGCCCAGCTATGCCTGAGGTGGCCCAGCTAATATTGTGTTGGCGAGGCTGGTCACACCACTGCTAAATCAGCAGCAATCCTTGGTTGAGCCCTGGCCTGGAGAAATGAGGATGCACAAACCAGGGCACAGCGAGTCCAGCCACCATGGAAACATGCACCAGCATCCGTTACATCTGCCCCAGACGCCAGCCTCTTGTTGGCAGGCAGATACCGCAGCAGATGTGGGAGCAGCTCAAACACATAGCCACAGACACAGAACCAGAGCAGCACTCGGACAGCAATTCCTGTTCCGCTCAGACCCACACATTGGTGGGAGAAGGGAGTCTGCTGTACTTGATGCTCAACTGTGTTTCCTCTAGAAAACTTGCTTCACATGAAGAGATCTTACAACCGGTGTCATTTAATAGATATGAATTTAGCGTAGTTTGAAGATGTCCACTGAGGAGCACAACTGGGATGCAGCAATCAGGATTTAGTTGCAGATTCATCCTCTTCTAAAAGGAGGTCGTTTAGTGCAATAACTGTAGCAGCAAAGTCAACCAGCTCCACAAAGTCCGATGTAATTATGTTAACGCCCTTTACACCCGGCTTCTGTGCTTTCACCCAATTCAAAATCATGGGCAGGTTCCTAAAAAAAAATTGAAATAGAGGAAATAGAACATTTTGAAAGAGACTCTTCCCTATACACATTCTGCTTCTTTCAAATACAACATCTCACATTGGTGATCAGGTCCTGGACTGCCACCCAAAATGCAACTACCTGATGTAAAGAGCTCTTAACACAGCATGCGATCATTAGGTACCAAATAGAAGTATTAGTCTGTCATCAATCCAAACTATCATGCAATCAAATAACACCTGTGAACTCTACAGGCACTGAGCAGACTGTACTTCAGGATTTAATGTTGCACCTCCATTCCCACCATCCTGGTTTCTGTCTACCCATGTAGATGTTGAATCAAAAGCTTAATTTCACAGCAGACTTGAGTGTAGCACAAAGCAAGGCTACACCTGCCCAAGATGTGGGCAGGAAAGGACTGCTGCCTTAGGGTGGGCAGGAAAGAAGTTATCAGGGGCAGCATGCTGCATTTCTACCAAACCCCTTTCAACCTCCAGACTCACACAGGGCAACTAAATCGGGGAAATCAAACCAGACTCAAGCCTTCAGCTCTACAGGGGTTGAACATCCCACCATACATAACTAAACAGAGAAAGGTGAGCTCTATCTGAAATTGGATTAAATGGAGTCGAAATTCCTCCCCACAGTAGAATTTCTAAGTAATTTCTTGGACAGACTGCAAGTCAGGAGTCTGTACAAGCTTTTTTTTCTTTTGCACTTTAACAGGCAGACACCAGGGTTTTCAGCATAGAGACAAGCAACTAAATATATTAGATTTAAATTAGTGCCATAATACACATAACTTTATAATAAGGCAGTAGGCAAATGAATTAGCTAAAGGGATGAGGCAGAACAAAACCCAAAACAACCCTAAAAACGCCCCACAGCTCTTGTTCTAGGAATACAAGAGATAACTTGAGTCAAGGCATAATTACTGCCCCTGTCAAGGGACACACCAGACTTGAGCCAGCTAAGCGTGAACATTACACATTTCTCCTTTAGGAAGGGCTCAAGAACACCTAAATATTCATATTCCAGGCAAGATTTCCATATGAGAAGGCAGACATCTACACAGCACTGCAAAGACAGATTTACACCTACAAATCAACCAGCATGTATAAATGGATACAAGCCATCATGCTAAATTGCAACATCTATTTTAAATCTTTACAGTTCACTTTCCACTAACTGGTAACGATGGAGCTGAGGGGAAGGGATGAAGCAAAGGCAACCTTTCAGCTTATCAGTGGTCTGCAGCCCAGATCCACACTAGGAGTCACTTAAAACTGCTCACCCATTCACACTAGGAGTCACTTAAAACTGCTCATGAAACCAGATGATCCTTTACTAGTATAGGATAAAAATCGAGTACCATCTTTCCTCTAACCACGAGGCAAGTCTATTTACTGCACAGTATGTAGTTATGAGCTATATACCTGCTTTCTGTTCAGTATCCCCATCGAGCACATTTGCATCTATGCAACTTGTGAGAGCAAAACCCAGTCTCAAAGGAGCTGAGCACCATCTAGCGTCCAGTGCTGACCGCAGAAGCGCAAGCCAGCCTGGAGACAACATATTTTGCCAAACATCATTTGGATTTAATTATCTTTTGCTAGATTAATGTCTGTAAACAGGAAAGAAAGTGAAAACTCCATTATTTATACTTCACCTGGAAATTACTTCACTTCTGTGACTGTAAAAGCACAACACTTGTTATTTTTAGAAAGGATTTTAAAGAAACTACCTTGTATTGACTTTGGCATCAGAACAGTAATACTGTAATTACTTCTAAAGTGTCCAACGATTCTCCCAAACAGAACATGAACTGGATGCTTGTTTATCTCGCTGCTTAGTATTAAGCTCAGTTGCTGATCAAATTAGACCTTTACAAGTGTAATTTAGAACTTAATATCATTATGGCACAATAAACAGTGACATCAAACCAGGCAGTATTACACAGTGAGGCAGAAGACCAGATCCCAGCAGGACTTTTCAATTCTGGGAATTTTTAGCCAACAAGCTACACACTGATAACACATAAAATAAGGTCAACATGCAACCTACACTGGTCGTGTCGTTAACACCATTAAAAATCACTGCCACTCTGTGCTACTCAGAACAAAACCCTCTAATGATCTCACAGGCAAATTAATTGTACAACAGTCAGTGGTACAAAAAAGTCAAGACTGTTAACCTAATATTTGGTAAAAAAAGCCAAGATAAAATAGCCCCCATCTTTGGCCATTACTGAAGTCACTGACAGACTGGTACAGACAAATGCAAAACTGAGCCCACACATAGGCATTCTTCCTCTAAGGCACAAGGCTCTCCCCCCTGCCCCAAATCAAGTTCATAGAACTTGGAATGAGTTAGAGGTTTGAAACAACAGGTCCAGCCCATGTTTTATGAAATCATATCACATTCACATAGAGCTCCAATTACCAGGAAGCACAGCTACATATACACACAGACCCTGTTAATTATTTTCAATAACTATTTTTAATTACTGGAAACATCTCTCTCTAGCAATAATGAAGCAAAACTGCATGCTTTCATCAAGTCTCACTTCTATATAGACATTTCATAGTATCTGTCTCATTCAGGGCCTCTTTTAAGAGGAAATAGAAGTAAAGAACTGAGACAGCAAGACAAGTCCTTACCTATGAACAAGCGTATTCTTCAGACCACGAATTAGATTCCGTGCAATAGTTCTCACTCGAGGTGTGAGGATTGCTTGAGAAACATGAAAAGTCCCGTAACGACTTCGTTCCTCTAGAGTGGTCTCCAGGAACTGTAACAGTTTGTGCACATTGGTTGTATTAGCCCATGGCGCCGGCATTTTATTCCCTGGCCACAGGAAGGGGTATTCCTGACACAAAGGGTAGTGGTAGAATATAAGAACCTAACAGAACAAAGAAAAAGAAGAAATGAACAAAACTTCACAACTACATTATTTATATCAAACCATCATGTTGCATTGGTTTATGCTTATCAAGTACTGCAGTGAATAAAGGACCAAGCATAAAGCTGGTACTGAATTACAAGTGTCAGTAGGTTTGCTGCGCTATTGCCAAGAAAGAAAACAGATCAGTATGGTTAGCTGTGAAGACAACATTGCTTCAGGCTTTATGGGTCATCAGTTTAAGATGAAACAGTTGCCAAGAATATACTGAAATGTCATTCAAAGAATTCAGCTTAAAAGCTTTTTGGAGCACTGTCATAGACTATTACATGCATACTGGAAGTTAAGGATTTTTAGCAGTCTTGCCATTTTCTGTCTAACTACTATTAAGTGGTTTAAGAGCACCAGGCTGACTGGCCTAACAGCATTCCACTCACACTTGCTGCATAAGATGCCAAAGTCAAGTCTTACTGCCAGCAAATTCTTCTGTAAATCAAAAGTATTTTATGCTTTGTAAGGTGGTGCCCTTTAAGAAGATAACTTCAGGATGCAACACCTTTCATTAACACCCTGTCCTGGTTTCAGCTGCACCAGTTACTTGTTTTCCCCAGTAGCTGGTTCACTGCTGTGTTTTGGCTTCAGTCTGAGAACAATGCTGATAACACATGTGTATTTTAGTTGTTGCTCAGTAGCACTTAGCCTGATCAAGGATCTGTCTGTCTCTTATGCTCTGCAAGTGAGGAGGGGCACAAGAAGCTAAGAAGGCGCAGAGACAGGACACCTGACCCAAACTAGCCAAAGGGGTATTCCATGCCACAGCACATCATGCCCAGTATATAAACTGGGAGGAGTTACCCAGAAGCCATCTATCACTGCTCAAATCAGGCTGGGTACAGCTCAGTGGGTGGTGAGCAATTGTATCATGCATCACTTGTGTCTTCTGAGCTTGCATTTCTTCTCTTCTTGTTGCCTGTTATTATTGCTATTGTTGGTATTCTTGCCATTACCACAGTATTTTACTTATAATTATTAAACTATTCTTATCTCAGTGTATGGGGGCTACCCGTAGGTTGAGATATCAATTCTATCACTTATCTCCATCCCACTTGGGGGGCGCAGGGCAGCAATGACAACACGTGGGTGAGCAAACATCCGTATGGTGCTGAGTTACTGTCTGGGTCTAAACCACAACACACCCAAACTTAAGATGATCAATTCTGGACCCTAGGACTGACAGCATCAGTTGAGATAAATTCCTCAAAGTTTCATATATTTTTACAGTTTAAGACCTACCTGCCATTGCTGAAACCCTGTTCTCAATTTGTATGTATGCATGGGAGCCATTACCACAGAGAAGAGGTGCTTAACTCTGCTGCTACTGATATGGATGGCTGCAAAGGAGCCAAGAAATTCTGTACCATATCTTAGCCACATCAAAGCTTCTATGCTTTATACTGGCCTAAAAAGGTGAGAGTTTATTAAATCCTCATCAACACAAGTCAGCACTTGTCCAGAAGACAAAGCCTTAAGAAGCACAAGACTCAAGGATGCTACCATTTAATTAACATGCTTGGAAGACAGACCCTGGATGGAGGGCCTACACAGCCATGTGTAAGTGAAGGGAAACATGCACACTACATGAGGCCCTAGCAGGCTTCAAATACAACTGTCAGCAGCCTCCCTGCTCCAGTACCTCTGAGTGAGAATGACACCCATCTTCTTTATTTAAATCTTACCCTTTTAGGTTTGAAAAAAGGTTACACAGCCTCTTCCTACCTGGTATTTCTTCTCCCACATGTATTGTAAAGTCACATATTCTACACATTCAACAGAACAAAGTTTGGATCCAAATGCTGAGCGGATCCTGTTGATTAAGAAGAAGTGATGGCTGTCATCCATGGCGTAGAAGTGATTGAAATCTAAGAAGATTACTTCCGTGGGGTGCTGCTCAAGAAAGGTGTTAATTTCCTTCAGCCCATCCCGTACTTTAATGCCAAACAATCCATGTATGAAGTAAATCTCTTGTCCTGTTTCCCCAGGTTTGGAAGATACCCGAAGATCAAAGTAGCGGATCCCACTTTCCAACTGCTCTTTGAAAGTCAGATTTTGAGTCACTGACCATTTCTTCATGATCTTTTTAACCAAAGAAAGTCTGGCCAGACGTTTGATGGCTGTGGCTTGGTCTGGTCCCACAGGAGACTTCTCATCAACCCAGTAGCTAAAGGAATCATGTGATCCTAGGGGAAAAAAAAGCCCAAGAATAGTTAATTATACAAAACTGACTCACCAAACACATACACATCCATGTTCCCAGTGAAGTGATAAGCCCCACCTGCACGGCAGGATCACAGAGTTAAGCTCAAGCGCAAGTCTTTCAGATTGCCCTTTACACCTTAATTTTCCCTAACTGCACAACAAGAGCTATGTTTAATGTTCTCAGCACGCATGGTTCTCTTGCATGAGCTCCCAATTTCAGTGCACTCTGAAAATCATGATCATAAGACAAACATCAGCGGCAAAGGGAAATTTCCTTCTAACCTCCCTTTCTTCACAAATTACCAATCTATCCCCAAAGCATTCCCAGAGCCTGGTGCATCACTAGTTTGAGATACGACTCCAGCTTTAGTATCAGAATCAGCGGCTTTATTCTCATTCTACCTGCTAAATCCAATCATGACCTAACACACCAAAGCTCTTGCAACAGGTATCTTCATTCGTGCGACGGACAGAGGGATCTATCTGTACATGCCCATCTTACCAGTACATCTCACTAAAGCCCCATGATGGTAAATAAAGGATTAATAGTTAGAACAGAGAGCAACAACTGGATGAACTTAGAGGTGGAACACTCTCACCATGTGGTTAGATACCAAGCTCATATTAAACAAGTTCATGAATGTGTCTTTTCCTGACGGTGCCTGTGAGTGACTACAGGTACAGTGAATATGAAATTCAGCAAAAGAGATCACCAACCATCAAAATCACCAGTCCCTGCCTAAATAATGAGTGTCTGAGCAAGCTCCTCTAACACAAACTGTAAGCTTGGCAGAGAAACTGCACCTTACAGTTCTCTGCAACAGTAAGCACACAAAATTTGTGCTTACTAAAAAACCCTCCAACTGAAAACACAGTAGTGAAAGGAAACAAAACTCATTCAAAATAACAGCTTCAGAGTCAATGAAATAGCCCTTATCCCTAGGTTATCCAAGTCAATAACAGAACAAAGAGTAATAATAGGGCAGTTTATCTCAGTTTATCTCTGTACTAGAGCAGCATAAAGCAAAGATGGGCAGAAACTGATCTACCACAGACTGAGGCTTACCAGGGATTTCTAACCATTTAGATCAGGCACCAACATTCTGGCCAAGAAGCTGCAACCACTTCAGACACGATTTCCCTGTGAAGCCCTAGCTGTAAAGGAGCTCTAACAGCCCTGCCTCCCTGTTTTCTTCAGGGCAGCAGGTGAAGGATTCCCTAGTGAGCCAAACCCCACCTGATAGCTGCACACCCACGTCAAGTGCAGGGAAAGCATCTTCATCTCCAGACACCATTAAGGAGCTCCTTTTCCAGCTGCCCTGGGGGTAGAGAGAGCAAGCACCATGCTGCCAGGATCTGCATTGCCTTTCCTCATGCCCCAGGGTTCTTGTCCCTCCTTCTTGGGCTATACTTTCCTTGAATTTCCTCCTCTAGCTCAGCCTGCAACTCTGCTAAAAAAAAAACAAGCCCTCATCTGTAATTTCCAGTTTTGAGACAACATTTGAGGTGCCCACAGCCACCTTCACTCAAGCCTTCTATTTATGTATCAGTGCTCACTAGAAGACTGATCCATTTCCTGTGAGGCAAGGTCAGAGCTATAAACAAGATTATGATCCCAACTGGATTACCTTGTCAGGATTCTTTAATCCCAATGAAAGAACAGTCTGCAGAAACATCAGTTCACGACAACCTAAAAATGCACTCTTGGCTCCATTTCTACTAGCTCAAAACTACTGAAAGGGAACCATGAAGGTTAGTTTTCAGGCTTTACAAGTTAATATTCAAACTAATCCAATGAATTCTTCATGAACTCTTCAGTCTATGAAAAGCATGCCTCTTCCATTCAGTCTCCTAAAAACAAGTGGCAAGTAACAAAAAAGCTATTTAAAAAGATGTCAGCTTAAGAAGCTCTTTAGTACCTATCACATTAAACTACATCAAAAAGTAGCTGTCCGTTTTAGAGTGACACCTAATGTTTTTCCCCCACTTCCAAATGTGTAATCCCAAACAAAACACAGGATCAAACACCTAGAAGACGTTTCAGAAGAAGCCACATAAAGCCTGGCTCATACTGCAAGCTGCAACTCAGATACCTGAGGTTCACACACACCCCCACGCAGCAGAATGAGCCTTGCCATCTCCTCCAGTGTTTGAAAAGTTGACCTCAATCACAAGGGGTGCCTCAATGAATCTGCATCAAGAAGTCACAAGGCATTTTGTTTGGGTATGTGTGTGTGTTGCCTTTTTTCCTCTCCAAGTTGTATTCAATGTCTTCCTCTGTTTAAGTCCTGTAGAAAATTGTTTAAGATGCTAGAATAAGGCCATAAGAAACATTATGTTCATTTTAACTATGACTGAACAGCAGCCTCTAGAGATGCCTATAAAAGTCACTTGCCCCATATTATGCTTCCTTAGTGTCATTGATAAGTTCAGCTTATCAATGAATGACAATTTTCTCTGGCATCAATCAGAGTTGTTTAACCAAACCCAAGCCAAGAAGCAGCCTTTTTTCCTGAACCTGATCACATACATTACAGCTGCAAAAGCCTTCCTTTGCCAACTGCCACATAGAAGGATACAAAGAACCAACTTCTTCCACTCAAATTCTATTTTTAGCTCTAAAAAGCAACAAGAAAAAAGCCACAAGCACATCACAACTTTTTCGCCACTCACTGCACTCCTTAACAGGGCAGCTGTTATCTCTGTAATTCAACTATATGTGATATGCTTCTATAGTTAGAAAAGATCCTTACAACTCCTGCCCTGTGGCTCTGCTCAAAAGCCTCAGAAACCGAACTTCTCATTGACAATCAAATCAGTACATACACCTAGATATGATTACGTAGAACACAAACAGGAGCATCTAAACAAACAAGCTCTCCTTTTCATGCTTGGTAGAAGACCACCTCCTAAGAAGGCCAGGGGAGCATCATCAATACTGAGGCTGGAAGGAACAGCAGAAATTCAATTAGATTATCAATGGTCATTTACAGAAGGCCAGCCACAAACCTTGAGAAGTACCTGGGCCCAACCCCAACCCAGAACATTTTTGTTCTGGCAAGCCAAAAGGCAGCAAACTGAAAACCTAAAGCAGTAACACCTGATACTTGTTGAGCTGAGAGGTAAGAGGTGAGGATCTACATCATCCACCAGACCCTTCTTTAATTCAAGATCACTGTGCTGTATTACCAGCTCAGTCACTGGCTTTCAATATAGCCTGGCTGTGATGTTAAGCTACATGCTAAGATGATTGCATCATGTCAAAATAATCCCTGCTCTCCTTCATTCTACCCCCTAAATGACACCAAAGGCCCAGCCATACCATAGCTATGGCAAGAGCCAGACTGGTGCAGATAAAGCACGACTGCTTTTTGAAAAGCATAACCTAAACCAACCCAACTCTGTACAATTTAAAATGCAGAGGTTAGAGCCCACACCAGAAGCACAGCACAGACCAGCCCCATTTTGTCTGCAGATCAGTGTTAGAGCCACTAATCACATTTTGAATTCACATCTAACACAAGGATGCATGAAGACAATCAGATGCTGTGGCATTCTTGTACAGTAACAGCAACAGGGCTGGCAGCTCCTGAACAGAGCAAGCATCACAAAACTCTCATAACAAACAGAAGTCTTCACCACATGTAAGTAATCATTTGAAGCCTGTATTCCCACCACCCAAATGGCATGCACCTCCCTGAACATCACTGACCACTTCTCTAATGAAGCAAAAAAATAAGCTCAAGAAGTCTTGTCAGCAAGACATTTCAGATGATACCTGACATTTTCAACATAAGTAACACCCGATCCCTAAAACTGTTCCCTAAACCTGCTGTGAACTAATGAACCTAGGTATTTATAACCTCTGTCTTACAGACCAGAAATCAAAAGGCAAAGCAAAGCCAAGAAACTTTGTCTTTGCTGTCCTTTAGGCAAACAAAGGCCACAACCCCACTTTGAATCAACCTCTGGAGTGTGTTCTTGCACATGCAGCACACTGAAAGTCACTGTACATAAGAACAGACTAGCATTCAGATTGCAAGCTTCACTGAACTACTCCAGTGACATGGAATCACTTGGATACTCAACTCATCCCACAAAAGCAAGCTAAACACAGGAAATAAAGCAATGATGATTTGCCACTTGCTTCCAACAGGCTGAAGATGCGCAGCATGAAGCGGCAAGCACTAAATTTAAGCATGAAAGAGTCCATACAAAGTTCAGGGACTGCTAATCAGCTGGCAGCTCTTAGAAAGCAACAAACACTGCTCTACTATGGTTTTCCTTTCATCTGACAAGGACTGGAAGGCTTCAAGGAAAACAGTCATGTCCCGTCAAATGCCCAGACACTTCACTATCAAAGGCTACGATATTGTTAGAGCAGTATTAAAGAAGCATCTTCCATATGCCAGATTGTTGAGATTATGGCTAGTCCTCTTAAATTTATCCCAGTTGAGTGCAACCGTGGATTAATTTCTATTTATATCTTTAAGCCTCTTTTTATTCTCCTTACACTAATTTCTCAAGTTAATTGTGTGTTAAACAAATCACTTCTTAATTGAATTTGTATGTTAAATAGATAGCATTTCACTGTTCAGGATGACTTTTTTGTCCAAGTCTTAGTGCTAATTATTAGAAAGCAGCCTTTTATCATCACATCTACAGCAGAGTCTAACTTCACAGTGTGTCTACTCCTCATGCTACTTAGTCACAGATAAGTCAAATTAACCCATGGCATAGCTCAAACAAATGACACTTATCAACAGAATGTTAGTAAGGCTTGAATTTCAACAATTACTAGTTGTATCACTCCGTATTATCTTGTGTTTGCACATCAGTAGTTCCTGCATATACAGCTGCAGTGGAGAGATGGGAATGAACACTATCTCACTAACTCTTACGCCCTTTCAGAAGCTTAAGTTTACCTTTAAGGGATGTTAAAGGTATGACCACATCAAATGCAAAGCACAGATATCTTCCA